CAGGCTGGACGAGGCCTTGGGTGATATGACTTAGCGTAAGGTGTCCCTGCCCACGGCAGCGGGGTTGGAACTTGATGATCTTAAGGTCCTTTCCAACCCTAACTATTCTATGATTCTATAATCTTTCACCCAGAAGTAATAAAACACTTGAATGGCAGGTAACTTTACAGATGATGAAAGACAACAGCAGAAGGTGAAATTCATTTTTCTAAAGGAAATTCTGGAAAAGAGTCATAGTTATATTCAACACAGCACGGAACATGTTTTCACTTTTGTCCTGTGTTGTGGCAAGTTTAACGTATGCAGTTAACAAAACTTGCTCAACCTCAGCTACTGCACCAACAGCAGTTTACTGTTCCTTAATTTCGAATCTCCTAGCCTCTGACATTTTTTGGTCATTTTATTTCCTATCAGCATGACTAAATCCAAATTGGGCACAAATCACCTACAATCTTTAGCCATGTTTTGCTAAGATGCTGTCCTTTTCTGTTGTCTAGTAACTGTATCTCACATAATTTAATAACTGATTAAATACTCTAAACAAGTAAATGACAAATTAGCAATTCTAGTTTCCAAGTCCTGTTGTCAACATGCCCCTCTGAAATTTTCCAAAGACAAGAAATAAACTAAGTTCTGATGATTCATTTAAACCTAATGAAACTAAATCTAAAAGCATTTTCTGCTAAACAAATACAACATGTACTGGCAAAAAAAATGTGCTGGGAACAGCGTTTATACCTGGTTTTTGTAGAACTCAATCTGCCAGACAACATATAAAAGTACATACACAGACATCCTGCTATTTCTTTCAAGAAAATAATAAAAGTATAAGGCCAGAGAGATTTATACATGAGCAAAATCAACTCCTCTCCAGCTTTGGCTGCCCTGAGTCAAGTCATATTAATACCCACAATCACATTCTGTTATTCAAAAAAGGACCATTAAACGTAATCATAAAACATTACACTTGAGACTGCCTCCAAAAATCTATCCTTGCTTTTTGTCTCTGTAACTACCGTGTTCAGCCCACCAGAGAGACTTTAAGACTAAACAAACAAACAAACAGTGTTTTGTTAATGCATGTGTACGTATGTGCAATAGCATCTCGGTTTACTCTAGCTTCTTTGATGAGTAAGGTTTTCACAGAAACTGCACAATGAAAACTAGAAGCTATTTAGACCAGCACACCCCTTATTAATGAAAAACTTATTTTAACTTTTAGCTACTTTTCTGTTAATTATCACAACCAACCAACCACAGAAAGTAGAACCAGTCTTCTTAGGACACCCACAGGCTCTGCTATATTCCAGAATGCAAATTCTACATATTTTTGCCTCTTCTCAAAACAACAGAAAGAGAGCCAAAAGAAACTAAGGAACAAAACTTAACCCCCGCAACAGAAAAGACCATGCCATTTTAGACAAGTTGGTGCAACAGATCCCTCAGCACAGGTGTATTTATTTATAAAGGCAGGTGTGTGATTGCAGAGATATGTAGGATGACCTAGTTATCTTTAATTCAAGTACCAGCATCTTTAATTCAGCTACTTCTACTACTTACAGAACCAAACAAAGAGTGGTACAAGTACGAAAAATTTTTGAGAGACTTACATAGCTGACAAACTTGTTGCAAAGAATCACTTTGTACTGGCACCATTTTCACCCTAATTTAACTTTCAACTCTGAGGCTCAACAATGAATTTATGGGGTGTGGTGCAGGAAAGTGCAGTCCTCCAGCAGCCCACTACTAAAGCGGGAAATAGTGAATCTGAGTCTACCAAAGGCAGCTATACACAAAATTTTAGGCATATCTCTCAAAATACCCCATCTGAATCCATGACTTTGCCATTTTCACAACAGCTAACTCTGGGGCTTGGTTTGTGCTGTGAGGATAAAGGAAATAAACATGTCATAGTTTTGAACTAGCCTGAATGTTCAGTGCAATTATTTGATCTGCTGGGCTCACCGACTGACCCTGGCAGCAACTCTTCACCTCTTTTCCCCTCAAGTTTCCCACTCTATAAATGACCAAAAGGATACTGCCCTCTTTTCTGGTGTTCTGGAATCCACAGGTACTAGGCAGATATTTTTACCATGTTTTGAGTAACTTTGGAAAGTATCTACCACTTCTGCATACCAGGGAGAAAGTCTGAAGTGGAGAAATGACTGTTAGTAGCAACAGTAAGGAGCATCACCAGTGTAATGGCAAAACATACTGCCAGTACATTGCTTCATAAACCAGAAGAATATTCCATCAAAATGAGTATTTTAGGGAATGTTGCAATACATTCACAACTGGAAAAAAAAGTCAGAGTGACTGCAGTTAAAAGAAGTCATCAGTTGTGCTTGTATTCTTTCTTAATTCAAGGACAGGAGAGATTAAGCATGAATACTGGCATCCAAGAAAGTCTTACTTAGGTATGAACATTCAAAATATTATGGATGGACAGGGCTGTTACAGTCTGCAGATCAGTATTAAACAACTTCCTCACCATGCTCAACTTCTGTAAACAGTGTGAGGGCTGTGAATCTAATGTTCGGATTAATGCATACCTTTAGAATACTTTACTGTCTTATGTTTTAGAGTCCAAACAACTGTTTTTTCATAATTCAATTCAACATTGTATCACCTGCAGGTAACTATAAATCATTTCACACAGCACCTCTGCAAAGCCAGCTACCTGAATCTCCAAGACATTTACTGATGCTGAAAAGCAATGTCCCTCCACAAATGGACAGAAGAAAAAAAAAATCCAAATAAGTTTTCAGATTCATAAACTCACTTTTCTCAAAAACTGGAAGCAGGCTTTGGAAATAGAATTTCTACGTGCTTTTGTGATGTCAAAGATGAAAATTCTGCTTATGGAGGTACAATCTGTAGCAAGAACACCTGTCTGCCAAGACTCTGGCATTGACAATATTTTATCTAGACAGCCTTTGAATGTGACTGACACAGGAGCACTGCACATGGCTGAGGAAACTGAAACTTATGGAAGAGCTTTTGAAGACTTTGTCAACAAAGAGTATTTTAGAAATGTGCCTATCACCCTCCAACCATGCCTCCTGGTATCATCCTCAGGAACCTAACAGCTTTTGGTTCTCCAAGTCTCCCATTTGTCCAAGGAGACAGACAGACTTACTTAGATAAGATGCTACAAGAGCCATTTGGACATAAGTAAATATTGTCAGCAAGTGGAGAGGTCTATGTGCTGACCAGTCACTGAGACAGTAAGGAATTGCTAACCTTTTCTCAATTACTGGACTTGGCTATGAGAAACATGTGACAGCTATTAGCTAAAGGACAGATATGACTAGGTGCAGTTGATAACCCTTCCACATATTTTATAACGCACTACGCATTCACCCTGACCTTTTGGACCATGATAGAAGTAGCCTGAACCATGTGTATGCTTTGCTGGGAAAGTCCACATGAACTTGCCACAGACAGCAGGCTGTAAATTTTTGGAAATGATAAATATCATGTACTGTCAAATGTTATTTTCACTGTATAACAGCCATAGTTCAGTTAATCCTCAAGCAACTGTCAGGGCTAGGATAACAGAGAAAAAAAGTGAAGGGAACTCAAAGACAAGATCATTGACTTTTAGCTTTAGTTGGTTCACTTCCAATTCAACTGCCACTAAAGTCAACAGCTCCCCCTGAACTCACTGGGCCTTGACACTAACTTGTTTCAATTAATGTTACTAACAGTACTGCTCAGCAGCCCAAAAGGAAGAAAAAAAATTTAGATTCTAGTTTGCCTCCCACAAAGACATCAGGCCATAAGATGCCCTTTCCCAAACTGCATTAAAAACACTAGTTATGGCTGTGGATCATCAGAGATCCAGCATTTTTTTGGCACCCAACACAAAAATCATACCAGCTAAATGCAGAATATGGTAAGTTCTCCTCAAATAAAATATGGACCTCAGTGGACCTTAGCTTAACCCAGATACAAAAATTTGCACACCTGACCTGCCAGGTTAATAGTGACTGGGTTTCATCTCCAAACTCAACCTACTGACTGGATATCAAGTCCGCAAGCAACAGTAGCAAAACTTATGAATCGGCAATGAGGTTCCGAGAGAGGTTTTACCAAGGAGAAGCACTGAAATACTGTCATTTGGGGACTTCTTCTGTAACCCTACACAAGCTGCAAGATTTCTCACCTATTTACACTGTCGACTAAAAGAAAACCTGGTTTGATCCAGGTCCAAGGTCAAAGTTGGCTATCATATTGCTGAATCAGAAACCAAGTTTCTCCTCCCATCTCCTGTCTTCCTCCCGCCCCTCTCCTCCCACTTGCACTACGGGATTACTGTTGTGGAGGCAGCTAGGTGAGGAAACTCCTGGCAAAACCAGGCCCTGGGCAGCGCCTGGTGTTTTCCAGTAGGCCAGCATGCTCCTGATTGTTCCAGCTCTAGATCCTTATGAAAAGTGAAATGAAACATGTTTTGTTTCAAGGCTCGGTTATGGATCTGCAACCAAAACTAACTGGGGCCGGCAAGTTGAATTGCCCAACACTTTCTGTCTCACTCACACGCTTGCACCTGCCAGGGATGGATTCCTCAGAAGGGCTGACGGGAGCGAGGCATGTTTTCTGTTTTGACGGCACACGGTAGCCAAATGCTAGGACCAGCAGGTCCTGGTGTTTACTGTCAGCCACTGAAAAAGGCGAAACACAGCATGAGCACTGAGGGGACGGCGTTTGGCTCACCTTAACCACAGCCGTTCACAGGCAGCAAGCTGCCCCTCGGCTTTGTCTGTGTCTTTCTCCGTTCAAACCACCCGGCTCCGCTGCCGCGGCGTCACGGCCGGCCCTGGAGTCACAACCTGTCGCCGTCCCCGCTTTAAGGTCACCTCATGGCGCTTCCGTCGAGCAGGGCCGCAGCTGAGGCCCGCGATACGCCCGGCCCGCTCCGGCGCGGCGCCGCGGTCGCTCAACGGGCATCCTGAGGGAGGGGGCAGGGCCACGGGCGCCGGGACCGGGGGGACACTTACCAGGTCTATGAAGGTCAGAAATTTCCAGCTGCCTCCATAGGTCTGATGCGCGGGCATGTCAATGGCCTTGTAATTGCACAGGATGGAGCAATAGGACAGGAGGATGGCGGCGCGCAGCACCTGGCAGGGGACCAGCGCCATGTTGCACGCTGCGCCGGGGCGGCCTCAGCGGCTGGCTGCGAGCCAGAGTGGGGTGCACTTCGGCGTGTGTGCGCGTGTGAGCGCTGGGGTGTGCGCGACCGCGCGGGCGGGACTCCGGGCACCCCCGCGCCGCGTTTGGCCCCGGACGGGGCGGGGCGGAGGGGCCGCGCCGTGCGGCGGCTGGTGGCAGCGGAGCGGGGCAGGCGGGGTTGGCTGCGCGGCGGGCGGTGGCGGTGCTGGCAGCGGCGTGACTGCCGGGCTCGGCGCGCTCCCGAGCCGCAGCTCCGCGGCCGGGCTAGACGGGAGGAGGCCGTGCCGTTCCCCAGGGAGCGGAGGGGCATGCCTCGCACCTCCCATCGCCCTCAGCTCCTGCGGCCGTAGTGCCCCGCGGGCCAGCAGGTGCGGGGCCGGGAGCTGCGGCTGTGCCCGAGGGTCCCGCGTCCCTCTCCGGGGAACACGAGGGTGAGCGCGGGCAGTAGGTTACTCGCGGGACCTGTTTGCCCGCGTTTTCACGCAAAAACCACAACGCACCAGCAGTGACGGTTTTTAGTCGGTGTACAGTGGAAGCCTGTGAACCCGCCTCCGTCGCGGCCCCTCCGTAGCGCCAGCCCGTCCTGCGGGGGGTAATGCGGGGGTAGATGGCGGGCGAGGCACAGTGCACTCAGCTCCCCGCGCCACCAGCTGACCGCGCCAGAGCCACTGGGCTGTGCGCTGGCGGCGAGCGGCGGCTGCTGGAGCAGGTGTCCCTGCCCCGCCGGGTCTTGTGGGGCATCCGCGGCGGGAGGCTGTGAGGCGCCGCCGGGGTGAACCGAGGCTATGGCCGTACCGTTACTGCGCGCTGCCCGTACGGCTACCCGGCCGCGGAGAGAGCATTTGTCCTTTCACCTATTTCTGAGCTACAGTCACGTCCTCGGTGTTCCCTTTCGTCACACGACTGCTAGAAGTGAGCTTTGCAATACCTGCAACCTCTGTAAGAAGGGGACCACGTTATCCCTGGATTAAAGTGTTGGGTGGAGTGTCAACACTATGAGGAATGACCATTTCAGTCAGGGATCTTGAGGCTAGGAGCAGCTGGGGTGAGGGTTCGTGCTTGGACTTCCACACCCTGAAAAGGAAAGGGTCTCAAAGTGCTGGGCTGCAGGGTAAATATTAAGTTGCTCCATCATCTGGAAAAGTTAGTTTAAAGGGAAAAGAAAAACTAAACACAAGCAGTGATGGCTGGGGTTGGACAGACAAACCACTTCTATAAACACCATCTCCCATACATCTGCCTTTTGACATAAATATTTGAACTATAAGGTGCTTCATCATGGTTAAGCTACTGGAAGGCAAAAAGAATCTATGACTGTGCAACACATGCCCTGCTTTAATTCCATTACGTGGCGTCAAAACCTCTTCATCTGGTATCTACTGTGCTCAAGTTCTGCAAAAATAAAGGGCTTTTAAGAGAATATATACTAGCAGCTATCCTAGATGAAATTAGCATGGCATAAGATACCTGCTTATGCAGAGGAATAGTATGTGAGGCATGGACAAAGAATCCTCTAGAAGCATGAATTTCCTACTGGATCCTTCAGGTTATTTTATCTATCAGTTCACAGCCCCAGCAAGCACATGGGGCAGTCAGCCCCTTGTGTTGTTTGTGGCACATTTAAATTAATACTTATGTTATCTACGTGTCTATCTATTTAGATTAGATAATTAGGAAGAAATTCTTCATGTGAGGATGGTGAGGTACTGGAACAGGTTGCTCAGAGAAGTTGTGTATCCCTGTAAGTGTTCAAGGCCAGGCTAGATGGGGCTTCGAGCAACCTAGTCTAGTGGAAGGTGTCCCTCTGCCCGTGGCAGGTGGGTTGGAACTAAGTGATCATTAAGGTCCTTTCCAACCCAGAACGTTCTGTCTTATATGTTAAAAGGGTTTGATCTCCTTGAAGTGTCAAGGTGCAGTGTAAGAGGTATGTGAGTGAAATGCAATGGTCTGCAATACAGCGAGAGACCAGCCTGACAACATTGACAGTATGACCCAATGCAAGTGGATCTGTAAAGCAGCACAGTTCCTGTTGAGGACCTGATGAGTGTATGGCATGTATTGCAGGAGACTACAAATCAGAATAGTTCTTCTTTGTACTTGCAGATTGAATATTCATTAGTAACTGTTGTGCCACTAATGAATATATGTGGTGAGACACATCTGTTTTGGTTTTATTCAAAAGGAGTGCAGCTTGCTTTCTGAAAGTGTGTCAAATTATAAAGCAGAGCACAGTATCAGTCCAGATGATCAGGAGGCTTACTTCTAAAATAACTTGTCATCTGCACCTTAGTGCTACTGTAGAGGCAGCCTTAGTGTGCAAGTCTCGCTGGACTTCAGCTTTGTAAGCTCCCAAAGGCAAGTTACTCTGTGCAGAGCTCATCAGCACAACTGGCTATGTACCCATGCACACCTTTGTGTCTTGTAATCAGCCTCTGACAGAAAGAATTTGGGGCTAAGCCTTAGGCAGTCTGTTGCCTACTTTTTTCACTGCACCTCCTCCTATAATGTACAGGAGCTCGCTCCTTGGGTCACCTGTATGTCAGTAATAAGGCACTACAGACATTAACACTGAATATAACGATAACCACCATTCTGTTTGCCTTTTAGTCACATGTATTCAAACATCTTTCAGGGTTACGGTATCCTCAAAACTTTCAAAAAAGTGAAACACTACCCAGGCTTTTTGGAGATCCATTAAACTCTTCAGTTCTACTCTCAACTCCTCCATAGAAATCTCAGCAAAGCTCACAGAAAATCTTAACCTCATACAAAAGAAATACTTTCACTCAGCCTTGTAAGCCAAGGTGAAAGTCTAAATGAAGCAGAATGTATAAATAGTCTTGTTCCCTGTTCTTTTTCTTTCAGTCAAGATAATCTCAAGGCAGGCTAACTAACATGCCAGGCTCAGCCAAGCTCCTTCCTGGTTAAAGACTCTTCTTTATTACACATTTCTAGACCTTTGAAAGGAAATGTAACTCCTTTGTGGGTGGGTACTTTGTGTCTGTGTCCTTTCTAAAGAAGTATCTGTTGAATCTCTGCACCGTATTATAATATGATCTAATTAGATTGTAGGCTGCCATTAGCCTTTATGTGCTACTGTGGACTTTGTACTCCCTGTCTATTGAGAGATAAGCAGCAAAGTCTTTTGTGACTGGTTGAAATGGGTTTGCAGAGGATTTTATTTTCCTTTGAATTGATCTTTTTTTTTTTTTCAGCAAAGTAAAAATGAGATATTTACAAATCTGTCCTTTATAATGCTATATGAATGCAATTTTGGTAGCTATGAATGTTTTTTGGTACTTAGTAAAATGTTTACATTTTGGGGTTTTGATTGAATGCATAAATCATAGTAAGGTAGACAATAAATATGTAAAACATGTAAAACCAGATCCTTATGTTTAAATATTCGTATGTACATTGTGAAAAACCTCAACTCAATTTCCATTAGTTGCATACTGTAAATTTGTTTGATAGTGAGAGTTTGACATAGGTCATACTTGTCATTCAGTAGAGATGAGCAATGGCTTTAGACAGAAGAGTCCAAAGCACTGGTATGTCTGGGATGGGAGACATTAATAAGTGCTGCTGGGGCTAGGGGGAAGCAAGATGCCTAAAAGTCTGTGAGAGAACCAAGTGGAAAAAAAGAACTAAAATGTGGCCTTTCCATTCATTTGTTGATATAAAACGGTTGCATGATGGTTTTGCTACTTGGCATCTTAGCAGAATAGAGTGTAACATCTTGGAATCCAAGTTTTAGTCGTTTCTATGCAGACTAACAGATGAGAATACTTAAGAGTTTTGTGGCGTTGTGTTTAATTTTTGGTTTGTTTGTTTTTCTTTTTTTTAAAGGAATAACATTTGAATTTCTTAACAGCATTGTATCTTGTGAATATCAAAGATATTGGTGAATACTGGTGAGTGATCTTTGAGAGATGTTTTGAGACTTGTGAGGTGCCTTTTCTTAAGCAATTGCTTTAAATGCAGATGAATTGTTTACAAGGAATTATGCCACAGGCAGTTGCCTCCAAAGCAATAATAATAAGCATAATAATGCGCGCTTGAGCTCATAGGAAATGGGTAATACTGCCTCATCACAATGCATTCATGGCGGTGCACCTGATACTTTAGTTTCTAGTATCTGAGGCAGAGTGTACATACTGTGCCAAGGTAAGTGTACTTGGATGTGTGGGAGTATGATTCCCACATAAGCAGACGTGGAAAATGAAGCTTTCTTGCAATGAACATAAGTGAAATTATTGAAACATTGCAAGTTAAAAATCAATAGGAAATTATTGAAGAAAAGCTAGCTTGTGCCTAAGAAGAGTTTTTAGAAATGTTCTCAGTTAATATGTATTTATTTAATATATAGCTCTTCAGTTGGATGAACTATCACTAGGGTAGTAAATGGCCCCACATATCAGAAGAGGATTCAACTCAAAATCTTTGGCAAAGACTTATCTGCTTAACTGGACCCATTGTTAGTACTACTAGTAAAGTTTAGGCAAGCTTTTATTTCTCCATTTACATTGACGAGATACAAATGATAAAAATTGAAGGATTGAGAAAAATAAGGTAATAATTTACAATGAGGGTTTTATATCTTAATTTCATATGCTTTCTGCTTATTACATTGGTCAGTGTTAGGCCAGGAAGGGAAGGTAGTTAACAGGACTCTGAGGTGCAGAAGAGCAGTACTGACTGGGAGTATTCTAGCTGTTCACAGATGATGTGGCCCTCTGCAAGCCAGAGCAAGCATTCTTCTGCTGTAGCATGCAATCTCTCAGAGGGATATAGCCTTTGGGAAAGGGTTTAGGTACGTGCAGTGCACAATTATACATTACCTGCTGCCCTGTTTTAAGAGCTTACCCCTTACACTGCATCTACCTATTATAAAATTCTTGAACAGGCTGGATATGCAGTATTGTTTAGGATTATCAGTGGGCAGTAAAAAAAGCAGAACTGCTTGCCATGGGGAAATCTGAGTCAGCTTCTTATTCATTAAAAATGTGCAAAAGAAGACAAACAAAATTTTCACAAATGATTATAAAGCCAGGCAATTTAACCTTGTGTCTAAGTGTGTACTGAGTGTCTGCCTTCTCTTCTAAGAGACTGAGGGTCTCCTAGACCCTCTTGATAGATGACAGTCCTGACATAACAGTTGTAACCAGGTACCTTCAAAACACATGAAGTTCCATCTAAACAAAAGAAAACACTCTTTGCTGCCAGGATAGTTAAACATGGGAACAAGTTGCCCAGAGAGTCTGTGGACTCTGCATCTGTGAACATATTCAAACCCCATCTAGCCACAGTCCTGGGCAGCCTGCTATAGCCAACCCCCCTT